GGGGTGCAGGTGGCAGTCAATGGTTCTCCGCGTTAACACGTGAATGACACGGGCCAGCTCTAGGCAATAAGTGGGGGTGGCTGGAGAGTGACACTAGTAGTTGTTCTACCTTTTTTTAATAGTAGAGGGTTTTACGGCGCTCGCAACTGTATAAGGTCATGTGAGCGCCAGTTCTACCTCTGTTCTCTCCTTTGCTGCTATTTCGTCCAGTTTGTCTTACTTTTTTTTGCACTTAATAACTGTTAATGTTCTAAATGTTCCCAAAACAAACTTAACGCTCCATTTTCAGACGGACATACCGGGAGACACACACAGCCACCCATTAGCACGCACGCACGCACACATACACACAGACTAAGAAAAAAACAACCTATAAACAAACATACATACACATACACTTACAGAGACATACTGTTATATTCTCGGTTAGAGGCACCTTGTAAATTAGTAGTTTTAGGAGAATTTGAGGGCAGGGGAGAGCGGGGAGTACTGGGACGAGGCCCGATCATTATTTTTGGGAACAAAAATGAATCTTACCGTAATTAATTTATTATTCACCACTGCACCTTTTGATTGCTATTACATCCTTTCAATTTTCGATTTCCATTTTCAAGTTCCAAAGACCGCACAGTGTTGCAGAGTTTTTCAAGACCAGTTTCTTTCTTTCTGCACCGAATGTGTTGACCTTCAGCTGAAGGTGAGTATTTTTTTATACCGCCGTATTTCAGCTTCATTAGATTAAATCTATTTTTTGTTTTGTTTTTGTAAAGTGTTTTACGGCGCTCGCAACTGCATAAGGTCACATGAGCGCGTGGGACATACCTAATATTTTAAGTTGGTAGGAAATTTGGAATTATGCCCGGGTGGCGGCCCAAGCCTACTCTTATCGATTTTAGACCACCAAGAGATCTTCAACGTGCGCAACTTGCACACGGGCCCTCCGAGATTTTTCGCCCTTGTCCGAAAAGGCTAGGTGTAGATCTTTCCTACCAGAAGATCAGGGGTAAGGCAGAAAGACAGCAGTAAGGAGGAGCCAAGGAGTAGCAGTAGAAAGGCTGCAGAAAGAGTCAGGAGCCCAGAGGAGGGGGCAAAGGAGGTGAGCGGGTGGGGGCAGAAAGTGGAAATGAAAAAAGACAACAGAACATTGCTAGAGAGCAGGATAGGAGGTGAAAGGAGACAATTTTAGAGAAGAACATTTTTCGGTCGCTACCTGGATTCGAACCCGGGACCTTTTGAATGAGAGGCCAACACCTTAACCTCTAGGCCACGAGAGCCCCCAGATTAAATCTATGGGACAGACAGAGTACGAAAATGCAGAATTAAACTTAGTGCCTACCCATGGTAGGGAGAACAGGGACACACCGTCCCACTTTATCCCACTCGGGTCACAGTTTTCCTGAAGCATAGATCAACTTATAAAATACACAATTATTATATAGGGGTGGAACACGGTAAAATAAAAGTACAATTTGGTTTTTATGTTGGTTTGCGAATTTTCTCTGCCACCTGTCTGAATGTTCCCTAGAGGAAATTCTGAAGGACATAACATGTACACGGTGAATGGGGCTGCTGAAGGATTCCTCCGCTTAGCGTCGAGTAATCGATAGATGAACGCAGATATTTTCCCCAAAGCAATAAGACACTATATTTCTTTTGCTTGTCCTAGCAAGGAGAATCAAGCAATATAACTAATGGACAATCACCAGCGTCATTTGTGCACGCTTTCTCTGGAACTTTCCAAAAAAGAACTTTGTGCATGTCCTTACCCTATCACTCCACACAGTCATTTGATAGAACTGTCTTTGGTCTGATTAAAACACATTTCAATTCAACAACCCCAAGCTCCAAAATCCAGGAAAGAACAAGACCATTCACAATATGGCATCTGTGATGAGCAATGCATCGACTAGAGCAGTCACTTCTGAAAGCTTTATG